GGTTTGTCAATAATACACAGAAAGGCCATTGCTGATTTTTGTGGGTTAATTTTATATCCTGCTGCTATACTGGTTTATTTTGGTTAATTTTTTAGTTGCATCTCTATGGAGTTCTCTAAGCAAACCATCGTATCATCTACAAATAGTGATAATTTGGTGTCCTTTTGGTCTGTGCTTATTCTTTCACTTTCTTTTTCTTGTCTTGCTATTATAGCTAGCATTTCTAGAACTATATCTGATAATAGTAATGACATTGGACATCTTTGCTTTACCCCTCATCTTACACTCAATTGGTTGTTCCTGTGTGGATAGGTGGCCTGAAATCTCTTGGATGATTATGGATCTAACTTAGCAGGCCTTGCTGTATTGAAGGGTTTGGTATAATCACTACAATAATATCCACAAACAGGAACATCTAGAGGATTTTGCCCCTCACCAGGGAATCCATCTTCCATTTTTTTTTGTCTTTTGTTGTTTTTTTGTTTTGTTTTGTTTTGTTTTTGGCTAGGCAATGGGGTTAAGTGACTTGCCCAGGGTCACACAGCTAGTAAGGGTTATGTGTCTGAGGCTGGATTTGAACTCAGGTCCTCCTGACTTCTGGGCCGGTGCTCTATCTACCGCTTCACCTAGCTGCTCCCCATCTTCCATTTGGACCTTGCTCTGGATCTTGTTTATGACAGTGGTTAACACTTTCTGCAAGCATATGGCTCCTTGTTTTATTCTTTGATTGATGTTAAAAATCTGAGGGCTAACCAACATTATCCCTGTTGTCACATCTTTCAAGGAATATTGTATTATCTTGACATAAGCATAGAAAGTACATCGGTGGAAAATTATCTTTAAGATGGCTTTTGGCCATACCAAATCCTATGCCTTTTTATAGTCAACAAGTGATAAGCATAGTTGCAGCTTTTATCTTTTGCACTTTTCATTAGTTTGTGTGACTAAAGATGTGATCTCCTGTCGAATATTATTTGTGAACATCTGCTTTTTTCCTTCTTGTATCTTTATGAAGGATGCTCTCAGTGTTTGCATAAATTATTTTCATAAAGATTTTGTAGATATGGGAAAATAAGCATTTGGGTTGGTAGTTTCTGATTTTTCTGGGTGGCCATTCTCATTAACAATAAGGCCTGGGATTTTTTAAAAATGAAACTGAATTTCTATTATGTATGACTTGTTTTTATTTTTTTGAGTACATTTTAAATTTACTACAGCAATAGCAGCACTATTCAGCTTGTCTGTGTTCTCTTATGAACCTGCTTCTGTTCTGTTCCATGGATTTTTAAAATCTTAGTGTGGCAGGGCATTTGGAGATGAGTTTCCACAGGGAGAAATCATAAGATCTTCAGCACCTGTCTCTGGAAAAAGTGAGAGTGTCACTGCTCCAGGAAAAGACAGGCTGCCCTTCCCTCGTCTTGAGGGAAGGGGAGGGAACACTTCAGGAAGAGGAGCAAGAAGTGAACAGGTGAGCGTTACCTGGTGTGCTGAGCAGAGAGCTGAGTGTTGGTGTGATAGTGCAAACTGGTCCAGTGTGAGTTTGGCTTGTGGGTTGAATGGGAGAGATGCCAGTGATTTGAGTGATGATAAAAAGACTTTGAAATTATAGGAGTGACATATAGAGGTGGCCACTAGGGCTCTGGGGAGCCACCTTCTCCCACTGTAATCACATGACATACGGCTGGTGCCTAGATCAGAGGCAGGAGAATGTAGGAGGATGGCAAAGTGGTTGTTCTCCCACTTTTTTTGTGCAAGAGAGTAGAGGTTGATTCCAAAGTTTTCCTTTTTTTTTGGTTTGTTTACACTTTCTGTTTTAATTAATACCATGACTGTCTTGGATAAAGACACTTTTAATCACAAACCTTGGTCTGAGCATTTCATTATTTGTGACTGGGGTGTTCCGAAAGAGTGACTGACATGTAATACATGAAAGAGAGAATGAACTGAATTACCAGGATGGAAGGAATTTCTCCTCTCCCCTATACTCTACCTTGGCTGGAGTCTCAGGGCTTATATGAGAAAGAATCTTATTGATATTGATTTCTCTTCTTAAACTTCCCAAAGTGCAGCAAGCATGGATTTGAGTCTTCTCTCCTAGGAACTAAAAATCTCCGTGGCTCTCTGGTTGGTGAACTGGGCCATCAAATCACATTGCTTTCTCCATGGATTTCCTTTATACGTGCCTCCAAGAGAAATTTTTCAGGAAAGAAGAGCATTTTCACAGAAACAAGGGAAGGAAAGAAGATTTGGTAGTCAGCAGCATTAAAAGCTATAGAAAAGTCAAGAAAAATGAGTAATGAGAAAAGGTTCTTAGATCTAGGAATTAGGAGATCATTGGTAACTCTTAAGGGTAACTTATTGTGTTCTAAGAAATGATGAAAGAGATGGTTTCAGGGAAACCTGGGAAGTCTTGAATAAATAATGCAGAGTGAATGAAGTAAGAAGAATCAGGAGAACAATGTATATAATAACATTATTGTATAGACAAACAACTTTGAAAGACTTAAAAACTGTGATCAATGCAATAACCAACCCTGAGGATTCATGATGAAGCTTGCTACCTATATCCTGTTGGAAAGGTGATAGATGTAGAATACAGAATGAGACATAATTTTTTTGGACATGGCCAATGTGGGAATTTGTTTTATTTGACTGCATATGTTTGTAACTGGTTTTTTTTTCTTAATAGCAGGGAGGTGGTAAGGATAGAAAATGGATGTTTTCTTGGGAAAAATTTTTTTTTAAGTTTAAGGAGATGGAAAAGTTTGTGGTAACAGAAAAGAAATTTCAGAGGACATGGTGGAATGGTCTATGAGATGGATTAGTCAGTTGAAGTAGGGATGATTAGTACAGGAATGAAGCCTCAAAAAGAGATGGGATGGGCTTATTAGCCAAAAAGCATATGATTGGGTTTGGAAATTTGATACAACAAGAGGTGAATTGGTCTGGCATACTTCATATGCAGACTATTACTGCTAGCAGTTACTCTACCACAAAATTTGAAATACAATTTGGTTGGTATTTTGGAATATGTCCCTCAAAAGCCTTCTTCCTTGGGGCCCTGTTACTGGTTCACTTTAATGGTAAGAGATACTATTACATCAGGAGGTCAGGAAAGCTGGAGAAATGGCCAATATCCTTGGGGAAGCCCCTCAAAATCTCAGATTCGGATCTCCTTCCTTCTTATCTCTGCCTGTGCCAAATGTCCTGCTCTTCCCATTCCTACTCCCTCTTAGCACAATACCAGGCACCTAGTAAACTCTTAATAAGAAGCTTCTTGCCTTGGTTATTACCTCTTCTTTTACTCTACTTACGTCATTTGAGCTGTTTTGAAGTTGTGGAGGGCCTAGAAGAATAGGAGTTAGATTTTTATGATCAGTCCACAACATAATTTGCATTGGAAGACACTGATCTTGCGGGTCCTTAAAAGACTTGGCTTGGTTCTGGAGGTAGTCTCAGGGTTCCTACGTGCTCTAGGCAGCACCTACAGGTTTGGTTTATGGGATGAACCCAAGATTCCAAAGAGCTCTTGAAACCAACTTAGTCTTTTAGGAGTTCTCTTGTAAAGGGTTGACTTGGGCCTATGGGATCATTTCCTGCCAGAACTGGGCTAGGAAGCAGAGAGAGTACAGGAAGTAGAAAGATCAGGAAGTGTTGGTTGTTTAATGGTGGATATGACTTAGAAATCTCAAGCATTTTGTGAAGTTCTGGGCCTTATAACTCCTAGTTTCTGAATTACTTCATATAGATGTTGCTGTCTTAATTTCTGATGATATCGATCCCTGTGTACCTAGCTAGATTCTGAATGGCATCTTTAGACTTTTGGTGATTTTTTTATGTAGTTGAGGTAGCCTGACTTATTAACCTGATTTTTCCTTGCTGGGAAAAAAAGCAACAAAAACAAAAAACAGATCTGATTTCTTTTTGGTATATTATTTCTTGTTACTGCTGAAACTGGGGGATAGTGGTTAGGGAAAGCTTTGTGGGGGTTTTCTAGGACAATCTATTATTCTGATGGATTCATCTTCTTGCTATTAAGGATTACACACATATATATGTATATGTCTGTATATGTGTGTGTATGTGTGTGCATGCATAGCTTTGATGCATTTCTACCTCTTTGAATTTATTTTTATAATTGAACTTTATAGAGGAAAGATCTTTTTTGTTTAAATTGCCAATTTCACTTCATCATTTTTCTGCTTTCAGAATTTAGTTCCAGAGTCTAATCTATATTACTAAGTAATTAAAATTTCATTCCAGAGAAATAATAATAATTGCCCTATTATCATATTGCAGCAGCATGGTGTGGAAAGGGCACTGGATTAGGAGTTGGGAGGAAAGAGTTTAAATGTTCCAATACTACTAGTTGTGCAGCCTAGGACAACTCACTGAACCACTCAGCTTCAGTTTCTTAATCTGTAAGATCTATACAATGAGATTACTACTTACACTACCTAACTCATAGAGCTATTTTGAGGAAAGTACTTTGTAAACATTAAAGCATTATATAAATATGAAGTATATTTTATTCTTCTTCCTTTACCAGAGTCTTACCCCTCCACCTCATCATGGCACTCTGACCTTTGGTTCTTGCAGACTGTGCTAGAAGAGTGTAAAATGCTAGCAATTTCTCTATAGTGGGAAGTCTGAATATGGGGATGAGCTATGTGACTTTCTTCTAAGGATCAACCTAATTAACTTTGTAGAGGTTCATCACCAGGTTGAAATAGAGCAATTAATTTTTTGGCCACAGAAAATTACAAATTATATCTATTAAGCCGTAGAAGGATTATGATATGCTTTGGTGGCAGAAGTACCTTTCATTGATCCTTGAAGTATTATTAAGTTCTTATTTAATGAAAAAAAAACCAAAGTATTTCTTAGAATTAAAATAATAGAGCTAAAATGTTCAATATTTTGAGTAATTTTAAGATACTTCAGAAGGGAGAGTGATAAACAGGATTTGTCTCTTAATATACACATCCTTTTCCCTAAAGGCATGTAGACAGAGAAGGATATCCCAAAGATTATGATATAGATGAATTTCCCATGGGCTCAAAAAATCTGTGTAATTCAAGTTATTGGAGGTTTGGAACAAAGGATGCTATGGTAAGTAATTTGTATTTTTAAAAAAGTTTTATGTAAATATTTAATTATCGAACATTTATTTTTTATCCCTTCTATTTCCCTTCCCTACTGAAAACAAAAACAACGACAAAAGAAATATAAAACCCTTGTAATAAATAAGCATTGTTAAACAAAACAAATTTCCACATTGGCCATGTCCAAAGAAAGTGTCTCATTTTGCATGTTAACTCATCACTTCTCTATAATGAAGTGAGCAACATTCTTCATTATTGTCATTACCACTATTTAACATAGTCCTCGAAATGCTAACTAAAGCAAGAAGGCAAGAAAAAAATTGAAGGAATATGCATAGGCAAAGAATTAATTTTTAAAAATTTGTTTTAAGAATCTTCAGCAAGAGAATAAAAAATAAGAACCTTATTATGTCATAATTTATTATTCATGGATTTGTACACATTGTGGATCAAATAATGATATCCTCAAGCATAATTAATCACATAAAAGAGATGTCTTGAGGAAAGCCTTGATTAACCAGAATGCTAGGGAAATTGGATATTCTGGTTAATTTAATTTATTCATGAACTCAGAACCTATCAGGGACTAAGAAACCTTGTGAACCAAGACCCCACAAGAAGCCTAGAATCTCACATGTATCATATGAATACCTTTAGCTGTAGTACCTAGTTAATGAGAAAACTTAGTTTTGATTTTGTTGTTGTTGTTGTTGTTGTTGTTGAGCATTCTGATAAAATGAATAGCTGACATTCCCCTATTAGTAAGAGTATACAGAATGTAATTTAATGTTCCTTAGGTGATCAAATTCCATGGTGCAGGAGTAAAGAAATGCAGAATTAGTGTAGAAATATAGGAGTTAGGGGAGGATGTATAA